AGGCTGTGCGGCATGTGGAGGCCACTTTCAATCGAAGTGCAAGGAAATTTGTGCGGAAGAGAAGCCGTGAGTTACAGATGCTGAAAACTACCGCGTGACAAGTTCTGCGCAGACGGGTGCGCATGAAACCTTACAATGCCACACTACCAAACCGTTGGATTGGGAGAGATGAAGAGGTCTCCCCGCTCTCCCGATCTCACTCCATGGGACTTCTTTCTGTGGGGTTATGCAAAGGAAGGCGTGTTTGTGCCACCTCTACCACTGGATATTGATGAATTGAAGTCGAGAATTACCGCAGCTGTCGAGACATTTGACAGGAACTTGTTAGAAAGAGTATAGGATGAGCTGGATTACAGACTGGACATATGTCGGATCACGATGGAACCCACATTGAGCGTCTATAGGGTATTTAAAACTTCAGAGTTTGTTATTCAAATGGCATTAGTTACAACTGTACAGCTTTAATACTTACCTTAGTATAACAAATTAAAAGTGCAACAATCATTTACGGACATCCTGTAATAAAATCTGTCATTGCGTTTGTTGTTGACGTCTCTGCTTGTCATGTAGGAGAGACCTTGCATTGTAGAGCGGGAGTAGGGTGACTGCAGGAGTCAAGTTAGCACTTTCTGTGGCACATACACATTACGTATTCATTATTAAACCTGTAGCTCTGATATTCTCAAAGCTAACTGACTTCGATAAACATTGTATAGGTCATAATGTGCGTATTTCATGTTAAATAGCAATAATAAACGGAATATATTATGATTTTCAGCAACTTTTTATTTCGACACTCTTCTCTCAGATATCAGCGAAATACTCGCAAAACGTGTTTGGATCGTAAGTAACATGGGCCTTAAAATGAATTAAATTGGAACAATATTTACAAATGGTAACATAGCTGTAGGTCTAGCAGATATACCACGAATTGAGTGCGATCAAAATTAATCAAAGAACTCGAAAGATTATATACAGAAATTCATTCAGACCCGTAAAGAAAGTTACGCTTAAAATTAGAAAAAAAAAGTTAATTTTCTCGGGAAAAGTAGCGTAAGTTTACAATATCTAATTTCATCCAAGTCAGCCCGTAGTTGGGCTACAGGCGGACAGAAATGACGGACCCAGTGGATGCGATTCCGTTTATTTTTAAAAGCACACCTACAGACTTTGTTTACAACTTGAATTCGTGGATGTAACGCCCTGTAGTTAATGCCACCGCTGTGAGAACCTCAAATCGTACAGCCGATTCACATGTGACAACTCAATATCCTTTATAACGAAATTTTGTTACAGAAATTTGTGGAGAGTACTGAAATGTTAAATCCTTGACTCCTTGACATTTAGAAACGACGAAGTATTCCTTTATCCCGATTAACCAAAAGCAAATAAGATCGAGGACGCCCACAGATACAGCGGAAATTACAGTTACACACGTAGTAACATTCTCACAGGTATCAAACGTTTTAAAGGAGATTTTTAAAATTTAGTTCGTGGCCGAACAGATTCAGTAGCTCAGTGCATGAACGTACTGATACTCTCGTCTGTTGAGTGTGAGGACAAAGCGCTGAGGGGAATTGTTGACCTAAAATAGGCGAAGCAAGAGAAAAATAGAGCAAATTGCTTAACGAAGAGATGCAAGTTTTTACTCTTCAATTAGTAATAAGATCTAAAAGTTTGTGACGATGGTAAATTGCTACAAGTAATATGTTTTTGGACATTATCCATCGTCTTTTCTACTTTTTAAAAAGAAGTCCTCTTTCTTTTTAAAACAGCGTTTCGGAGACTGGAATCTGTCCCCGTCCTCAGGTAAAACCTACTCAGTTGGGTCCAATAGACAGAGCTGAGTAGGTTTAACCTGAGGACAGAATCCAGTCTTCGAAATGCTGTTTTAAAAAGAAAGAGGAATTTTTTTAAATAGACAAGACGATGGATAATGTCCAAAACATATTACTTGTCTTCAGTTACTATTGTTAGGGTGAGTAAATAATGAATAACCAGATGAACGGGACTTGCATCCCACGTGTACGAATAGAAACAGTAAATGCACATAAACTATTGGTCTTGAATTTGTTGGGAAGAGAACGCTTGGGAGACTTCACCTTATGAAATTGCCAGTAGAGTATGAACAAGGCCGGACGTGTTCTTGGTGTAATACACATACTTCCGAAGTGCATTTCGGTTAATTTTCAGTCCTTTATGATTTTGATGTTTGTTTATTGCAGATATAAATTTTTCTCAACTACTTTCGTTTATGTGATAAACTATTTTCGCAAATTTTGTTAGCAGAGTGAGTATCAATTTTTTGAACAAAAACTCCGTACCACATAATTAGCTACCGTTGACCAGTGTATAAATTTACTGTTGACAGATCTAATCAAGAACATATGGTATATTATTTACCTCTGCTTTTCATTAAACTTTACAAACCCAAGACATGGTGAAGAGATGTGTTCTAAGGAGCGATAGTTTTCTAATTTGCGAAGTGCTATTTTTAGCAGAAATGTGTTAAGAAGTTGAGAAGTACGTACTGTTCCTTTAAATAGACACTGCGGGAAAACACGCCATCTATACTCGTATTCTGTATAATGCTTCAGTTTTTGAAAGCTCGGTCGATTTGAAAGAATGTGATAAAATTAGATTTGTCTGAATATAAAAGTGGGGGTTTTATTGAGCCGATACCAACCATAATTTAATTTCCTTGACATTTATTCCACAGTATTAAATATAATCAAAATCCATTCAATCACTGTCGTCATATTTTAATTTAATTTGTCGAAATAACCCACCGGGTTGCTCGCAGTGATATCCTCGGCGCAACGAATGCCGTTCCCCACTTCAAGGATCGGTCACGTCATTTGTGTTCAAGACAAACTGGTTTTTCGAGGTTCTTCCTTCTTCTTCTTGCAGGGTCGATGATTGGCTCTAGCAACAAAAGGTCTGTGTTCCTAATAAACGAGCGAGACTGCCGCAAAGAAACGTTATGTAGCCTAACTAGAAACTCTCATTCAGACCTTAGTCCTTTAGTGTTGCTTGCCACGTGACATGCCCTGAAGAATAATCCCCATCCCTGGGTGTAACAACACGAAGTAGTATTAATTAAAATCACTGGTGTGGTGCATTGTGGGGTTAAAAAGTAATTCTTTTTTACGACGGAGATAAAACTATGTAAAACATGTCCGAACTGGAATTCAAGACACGTATGATTTATATAGAATTTGCGCATGTTTGTAACATGTTGCCTGCGCGTCATTTTTCTCACAATGGGAAAGAATTAAACCCCTACATTGACAAAACTTGTCCAGAGTACTGTAATGACTATTGGGGGGGGGGAATGTGTAGCAGAACATTCTGACTTTTAAATTGCGTCTTTAATACATTAGAAGTTAGTGCCTGTCCTAACGGAAATTGGTTTATGTCTCTTGTGATACAGTCATAAGCACGGTTTGCTGTATAGTGTGTGGGACAGCTGACAGTACAGATACATGATGTTTGAATGAAACAAAAGCTTAGCAACTCCGCCATTCCAAGAAGACTGAGTTACCTCGCTTAGAAACCATTGACCCCTCTGATATGTGTTCATCTGATGTCTGAGAAGACGAAAATCTCACGATCACAATACAGTTTAAGGTGTTCAGCAAAATAAGTCATAAGTTGCCGTTGGAACGTGTTAAGACTTTTTAAAAACAGAGATCAGCATGGAAATGACATACCGTTGTATGACCCGGCGTGATTGGAAAACAATCGCTTTTACGTGCATGACGCTTAACTTTCACATAACGGTGCTGTTCGGTGAGACTTCTAGAGCAGGGATGTTGACTACAGAACTTGTGACATGGAAAGCACTGGTGTGTTTGTGTGTGCCGTTGGGTTATAATAGGAGGAGCGACAGACTCGAATTCTGGAGTACTAATCCATGAGACCTACTGTCCTGAGTTGTTTCATGAGTTTGCTTGGGCTGTCCTGTCGAATATCAGGCTAATGTGGCCATTTAGTTCACATCCTTCCCACTTCATGTTATCATTTTGTCGTCCTCAGGCGACTTTACAATTCGTACGGCTGTGAAAGATTTCAAAACTGCGTACGTAAAGTCTGATGTTTAGCGCATGTGAATTCTTTATACTGCCGATCACAATGGCATGAAATGTCTTCGCTCGTTCGAATCCCACTCAAGGCATGGATGTTTGCATTTATTCTGTTTTTATGTAGGTAGCGGCCTTGCGACGGGCTGATCGCTCGTCCGAGGAAACTGAGCTGAAACGAAGCGTTTCACGGACGTCCTACGCTCCAAGCGGGAGCAAAACAGGAACAAAGATAGATTCTTTATATTTACAGTGCGCATTATATAAACTAGAATGCGGACGTAATGTTTGAGCTCATAGATTATGTAACATATTCCGATTAAATTTATTTCTGAAAGTATTCATTAAATACCGCGTTAATTTAGTTCTGGTCGGTATCAGCCCACGATTATCATTACTTGACGCACAAATGTTTCTTTTTTATCAAATTTCTCAAAACTGTTCATGGTACAATAAACAGATACATATAAGAACTGCATGTAGCACAGTTCTTGTTAAGAAGCTAATGATTGCTCATTTTGTCAATAAATCATCCACCTTTTCATTACAGTGTTCGCAAGAGCTGCCACAGGCTCCAGTTCTGAATCAATTAAATGCTGTTTTTACTGTTAATCAGCTTCGCTAATTGTCCTTAGGAAGAAAAAAATAAACTACGCGTTGTGACGTCCCTTTCGTTTATTATTTATTTCTATCAGCAGTAAATTTATTTGTAAGAAACGAATGTCAAGACTTCGCACAAATAATTATAACAAAAGAATATGGAAACTCTTGTTCGTGAAAGAGGCCTGGAAGCAGAGTCCTGTGCAAATTGAGACCACTTTCATATCCTTGCTAAGAATATTCAGTAGGAAACTTTGCTTTTAATTAACAGCCAAACTATTTCGGATATTGTTCATAGTAAACAAAGGAATAACTCACCTGGCAGCCCTGGAGGGACGGCGTTTCGGCTTCTATACAAACCAGATGTCTGGCGCGAACTGTGAGCCTCAAACATTGACGATGCAGCAGATTTCGCTCTGTCGAATATATAAACGTTGTTGCCACATCGTACTTCAACAATTAATCTGTTACAGATCATGAAAGTAATTATACAAAAATGGAAGAAAAAACAGCGTTTTTCATTTTTCGATAAAGTTGCATCATTAAGGGATTTGAGGAAAACGACGAATTCAGAGCGAAAGATAAGGCTATCACAGGAGAGGAGATAATAACGGAGCGTTAATTCCGTGGTTAATGATCTCTCCTTGTCTTACTCTATCATAGCGTTTTCTGTAATTGTCATAGATACTGTCATTCCCGGTAATTAATTCTTGGAGGGGAAGAAAGGAATTATTCCTCAGCCTCTGCACCTAAGCTTCACGCCGTGATGGAGTGTCTATGGAGGGGGAATTGTGAGTGATTAACTTCACACTCCGGTAGCCATTCGGAGAGAGCCTCAGTGAACTGCAGTTATGGCAGAACTGGCAGGACACTCGTGACGAAGTGATTCACCGCTCATTTAGGAATGATATGTATCTTATCTGCACGAAAGGAGGCGCGATAAAAATCCCAAATTGAGAGGATTACGACGATCAGAGGGATGATAAGAAGTGATGGAAAATGCGCGTAAAATACAGAGTGTGAACTTTGCATCCGAGAGGAATGACGATTATCCCTCTGTCCGTTCGTTCGAGTGTCCGCCAAAAAACTGTGCCGTATCTTAATATTTTTCTTTTTTCCAATTACAGCTATCAGTCATAAGCACAAGTTACTTTCCTGTTATTATTTACTATTATTATTATTAGAGGGGGTGGGTTTCCCCATGCACTTAGACCACTTATTGGTCCATTGTGCGTCCCCCTTTAATTTCTACTGTCTCCATACCCTATCAGCCCCGTTCAGCCAACGAGGTCGGCCCTCGGTACCTGATATTTCCCCCGTCTACCAGAGGTATTGGAAACTACTTGGGCGGAAAACTTGGTGCCTAATTTTGCTCAGAGGTCTCATAGAGACATGAGGATCTTTTACGTGCCGTAAATCTACGACACGGGACCCACGGCTTAAAGTCACTGAATTTTTCCGCCCTTAAAAATTCCACAACATCCGCCGGGTTTGAACCCGCGTACCTTGAGTCATGAGGTGGGAACGTTACCCCTAGACTACGGAGGCCGCTAAGTTACTTTCCTAAGTAACCGTGTTCCACTCTCTCTGAATGTAAATGCCCAGTCCTTCCTTTTTTTTTTCTTAATTAAAGTGAAAAACTTCGTTGTAAATGCAGACAAATTTATATAAATTTCTTCACGAAACGAGAGGCGAAATACGAAAGCGTTGGAAGCACGAAACATTTGTTTCTGCCACGAATCTCTGGAAGCAGAACCGAGAACGTCTGCGGTCGCTGTTCTACCCATCATTTCTGCCGGTTACATCAATCGATCCACATTAAATCAAATCATAACCCGCATTATATGTATATTTATGTGTTTATTTGCCCTTATTTATTTATTTGTGCCTATTATAAGTAGTGTTTTATCATCTAAGTGAACTGGTTTACATTCATTTCAAATCATTCAGTGACGAAACTTGGCAAGTATCGGACCCTTGAAGCATCAAGAGGACATCGTCCTGTGTTGTAGATTTTTGAGGTCAACGAGTGGGCGAGTAAAGGCTTGGAAAACGAGAGTGGAAAGGTGCACTGTAATAAAGAGAGAAGTTTTCGTGGTTATTTTACGCCCCCCGTTTGGCACAGATAGAAATACATTGTTGACACAGATCATAAACACTGCGCAGATACGCATTATTTGTCCTTGGTAAGTATATCTATATAGTATGGGAAAATTGACGTAAAATTCATATATGTTAACAGAATGCGTTTTCCACGTCATGTGCGCTACATTTCATATGGTGAGATGTTTTACGCCTAGTGGAAAGGTGTACAAACAAATAATAAACTCCGTGGCCTGTAGTCAGCAAGTGAACTGTACCGAACGAGCGACCGCCGCTTGTCGGCGAAGTTAGTACCAACTTTTGCGGATAGAGGGTGTCGCGTGGTCAGCGCAACGAATCCCCACGACCGTTAATTTCGTTTCTCTAGACCGGAGCCGCTATTTTCTTGAAATAGCTCCTCAGTTATCCTGATGAGGCTGAGTGTACCGTGTTCCAGACCCACTGCTTCTCAGAAAATCTGGTAGCACCGGGGATCAAACCGGGTCCTCTGGATCTATAGCCAGGAACTCTGACCACTAGACCACAGAGGCGGTCGCAAATCGAAGTACACGTTTCCGAAATTCATTCTTTGTCAGTTTGCATATATCACTGGCCTTCGTGTAGCTGATGCAAAACTATTCACACCACGGAAATTGCTCGCATTTGAATCTCGTTAATTTCTCTAACAGACCTTTACGTCATAGAGACAAAGAACACCTGTCTAGAATAAACATTATAGACATTAATGATATTTTTTATTATTTATTTTTAGTTCATTTAACGACACTACCAGTAACTTAGACTATATAGCGTCGAATTTGTAATGCCATATAATTATCTTCACGGAGCTGAGCCCTTCTTGAGAAGCCGCCAGTTGTACAGCTTCTCAAGAACTTCCCAACATTTTATGGAGCCCGAAGGTTCGTTACCGTGTTCATAAGAGCGCACCACTGGTCCCTAACATGAGCCAGATCAGTCCAGTCCATACAACCCCATCCTGTCTCTCTAAGATCAATTTTAATACTGTCACGGGAAGGAGTAACTGTAGACGGGGTTTGGATTGGTGAATAAATTTATTGATGTCCTAACTACAAACAACTATAACAGTTTCGCTATTTGCACACTTCACAGTTCAATAGAGCACAAAGTCTAATGTTCTCAGTCTTTTACTAGAAGTTTCCTGGTAACGGCTCCAACAATAACCATTCCTCTGCCTCCGACTCAAGTCATCTCTTCACAGACTATCGTACAGAACTCGCTCTCAGCTGACTAAGGCAAGAAAACTCGTCTTGCTTATAAAACCTTGGTACGGACCACGTAGAAGACACAGCTCTTCCATTGTTGTAGTCCAACTGTTACATTATTAAGAATCTGCTGCATAGCAACGGAACGTGTTTACCGAGCCGTTGCTCCTTAGCAGTGGGTCTATACGCCACAACATTATCCACCCACCTACGGCATGGTCTTCATAGTAGTCTCGTTCCTTCTGGCTTTCCCACCAATACCCTGTATGTATTCCTCTCCCCCATTCGCGCTACATGCCTTGCGCACCTCATCCTCCTTGACTTGATCATTCTAATTATACTTGGAGAAGAGTAAAAGTTTTGAAGCTCCTCATTATGCATCTTTCTCCAAACTCCCATCACGGCATCCCTCTTTGGTCCAAATATTCTCCTCAACACCCTCAGTCTATGTTCCTCCCTTAATGTCAGAGATCAAGTTCCATTCCAATACAGAACCACAGGCAGAATTATAGTTCTGTATGTTCTGATGTTTATGTTTTTAGACAGCAGACGAGAAGACAAAAGGTTCTAGACTGAGTGGTGGCAAACATTACCCGAATTTAATATCCTATTAATTTTCCCTGGAACCACGTTTTGATTTGTTACTATCGTTCCTAGATATTTGAACTGTGCCACATTTTCAAAACATCTGTTAGCTATCTTTATGTCATGTTGCCTTGCGTTCTGGTGACGAGACAGCAATATATACTTAGTTTTATCTGTATTTACTTCTAGACCAGAGTTTTAATACAATGACTTTTTCAGACGAATAACTGAGTGAGCTTCAGTTTGGCCGATATACCTATGGGCCAAAATGAAATTCCACTCAACGGTATTTGATATAAACCCCCAATAACAAATGTAATCTGGTGGTTTCGGAGATGAAACATACAGACGGATAAGCACGACGTTCCCATTAGGATTTATTTTATTTTCTTCATACAAGGAACGCAGAACCAATACAGCCATGACAATAAATAACCGTATGCCATTACTTACTCATGGAGCTGAGCCCTTCTTGAGGAGAAGCCAAATCTGCAGCTACCCAAGAATTTTCCAGCATTTTATGGAACCCGAAGGTTCAGTACCTTGCTCACAAGAACCCTCCACTGGTCCCTATCCTCAGCCAGATCAATTATGCCATTAATATGTGTAAAATAAAATTATTACTATGTAAACGAGCATCTGACAAAATATATGTAGGTGCCGTATTGTTGTCGGATAATATGAGCAGATTGTTACGTATTGACTTCGAAGACTGGAGATGGAGCAATTATGGCCCCTTTAAAGGTAGACTACTGTCCCAGAATTCGACTAGAGGAAATGAAGGAAACAAAGAACAATTTTGAGTCAGAATATTCGATGCTTTGGCGTAGATTAAAACCGGTTATCTCAGTGCTTGATAAGGATTCATCTCACGAAATAACCTGGTCGCCGGCTTTCCATCTAATCTATTGTTGGTTTTTAGATTTTCGTCCGTATACCTGTATGTGTCACTGCACTTCGGTGTATTGGTTGATTCATCAGATGTTTAATGTGCTTGATCAACAACAAAAGTTATTTAGCTTCGAATGAGACGTAAGGTTGATTAGGCCTACGTATGTTGGTCTGAAACCGTTGCGGAGGAAGCCAGTATGGCCACTTGCAAAGCACTCCACCAATATTAGTTTGCATGAAAAAGTAAAACCATGAAAGAATTGTGACTGTAATCTGTATGCCATCTGCAGCAGTATTTTACTTTGCTACATAACTCGTTGGAGGCACTACGCTACAAGTCTGAAGGTAGCGGATTCGATTAAGATGAGGTTATTGGATTTTTCAGTTGATCTAATCCTTCCAGCGCCGGTCACGGTAGCCGAGCGGTCTAAGGCATGTGGTGTAAGGCATGAAATGTCTTCGCTCGCTCGGAAGCCGGGATCGTGGGTTCGAATCCCACTCAGGGCATGGATGTTTGTGTGCGTTTTTCTGTGTTTGTCTACAGGTAGAGTCCTTGCGACGAGCTGATCACTCGCCCAAGGAGTCCTACCATATGTGTAAGATCTAGAAAAACCGAAG